ATAAACACATTTCATTACACCAAATACACAAAATAATGTTCTTTTTAGCAGCATCATATGACCCCTTTAAATTGTAATAATATTTAACAATATTGATTTTTACTGTATTTTTAATCAGAAACATGAAGCTTTGGTGAGCATAAGTGTAACGTATGATACGTGACGATGAAGTTGGATCCAAATGCAGTCTTTATTCAGAAGAGTGGTCAAAACAGGCAGGGTCAAACAACAGCAAGCAGGTACAATCCAGGATGAGACAAAAGAGTAATCCAATAAACAGGCGAAGGTCAGGGCAGGCAGCAAACAATCAGAAAACAAGGAAACAGTCCAGGGATAAAAAACAACGAAGACAAGGAAACAGGGAAACTAGGAAACACAGGAACGCTACAGGCTATACAATAATCAGCGATGTGAGTGTGTGTGTATGTGTGTGCATCTTATAGGGTGTGAGACTGATGAAGTGATGAGATACAGGTGATTGCAGCTGGCAATCGTAACAATAAGAGACTTCTTTTTTTACCCCGCTTTGCATGTTTTTAGTATACTTAAAACAAGAAAAAAAATCCAAATAGAGTGAGAAAACTTGAAACTTGATATGAGTGATGTGAACTTAGATGTGGAATTATCATCATTTATTTCTTTTACTGACCCTTTCAAACTCAAGTTTTGCTGTGTTTACTGATATCAAATGCACCTGCCGGAGACCAAAGAATGTGTTTACCATCTGCATGTACCAGCCAGGTGGAGCACAGACATTGACTACAGCTCTGTTTACCATTGTGGAGACAACACAGGGATTCATTTGTCTATTTAGCATTGCAAGCTATTGTTAGAGGGATGAGTAATTGTTGTAGAGCACGAACAGAAAAGGAAAGACAATATCCCTCTCTTTATAATCAAGTGGTGAGCATCCTATATTGTGACTTGCCATGTCAACAACAGTTTTTTTCTCACACACACACACACACACACATATATATATATATATATATATATATAATTTTTTTTATTGCTTTCTGCCTCGTTCTCACTATATCTGTTGTCTTCCTCCCTGGTAAACCCCGGCTAAGCAGACATCCCAATAACAATCAGAGGGTGGGCAGCCCAACTGCCATGGCTCATGTAAAACCACAACAGTTGCCAGGCAACACTCTTCCCTCCACAGCAGGAGCAGGAGTCCAATAGAACATTAATGATTCTGAGCACAAACACACTGGACTGCTGGTGTCTGCTAGATATTTTACTATGGTTAATTACGCAAGAAAGTGACTGCAAAAACACACAGAATTTTACAGTTCATCTGGGCTAAAAAATAGGCTAATGGAAGCTCAATCTCAGGCCCAATCTGGAGCCTGAGGATGAATGTGATTGGATCTTTGTGGATCTGTTCAGTATCACCTTTAAATTTCTAAGTGGCTCCTATCGGTCCATGTCCATGTATGGTTTGTGTTTGACATCCTAATTTATCTTGCTGGTTGTTCACACATCAGCAGTGATAATAATTTAAGATGTATTCTGCTGCCAGTTTTCCCTTGAACTCAACCCTGGTCTTTAAGACCCAAGTAACAGCTAATAGACACAATGATTGTTTTTTTCCCCTTATGGTCTTGGGTGCGTAAACATGTTAAAATTCCATGATATTTTTCCATATGTCTTCATTTTATTTAGGTTTTTACTAAAAATTTAAAATTCTGTCATTATTTATGCCATCTCGTGTCGTTCCAATCTTGTATAACTGTGGAATGCAAAATAAGATATTTTTATATCATTTTAATTGTTTAAAATGTTTTTTCCCCATAATGAAAGTCAATGGGGTCCAAAACAACATGACTCAACATGAAAAACACTGAGACATTATCAAAAAGAGGGGTATTGTAGCAATGGAATGGAAGAACCATTTTTGGTTTCCTAAAGAACCTTTGAACAGTTCTTTAAAAGTTTGAAGAACATTTTAGTAATCTAAAGAAACTTTTTCCATTATAAAGAACCTTTTGTTCAATGGAAAGTTTCCATGGATTTTAAAGGTTCTTCATGCCAATTAAAACCTTTATTTTGAAGAGTGCATTCTATCTCCTCCTTTCAGTTATAATCAACATAGACTGTACAATCCTTAAATGAGAAGCATAATCTAGGTATTATTAAATCTTTGTGCATTTGGGATGTTCTAGAATCTAGATAATGGGAGATTGATATATTGAGGATTATATGGATTCATCATTTAGTTCTGCAACATCTCCAGCCCACCTACTGTGATCACCTTTGTTCTCTGGCTCTGAGATTTATGGAACAGTTCAAAAGCTCCCACTGGAGAGCGAATCTGAGAGAGAGAAAAGAATGACAGAAAGAGAGCCTGATGCCGTTTTGCAGGTCTTCAATGTCAATAAGTATTGCAAGAACATGAATTTAGCCAACACACGCTCATCCGAATGGACACAATAACCTTCCAAATCAACCCGAGTAATGCTATTAATTTAGACAAACTAAAACAGAACATGCCAGCAGTGAAGACAAGCTCAGTATCAGTAGAGCTAAAATATCAGTATCAGATATCAGTAAGAGCTAAGCAAATTAGCTACTGCGGGTAATTCTGGGAAGTTGTGGAATTATTTATTTACTGGCATTTTTAGGTAGCATGTTGATGCATTCAGAGACTTTTATTCATGGGAAGTTGTTTTAAGGGACATTTTTTATGAGACAAAAGGAGAAAGGCAAGTAATTAAAGACCGGACTAATGCAATTACGTATTCAAGAGTGCAATTACAAACCTGCAGGAGCATCAGTGTCAGCCTGTCGCCAACTCTCCTGGGTTTTCATGGAAGAGAATTACGCTTACTCTCTTGCATAAGAAATTATTACTTGATGTTTGTTACAAGTGTCTTTTACTAGCATATTGTGTATTTACTATTTAAAGGCTCTAATATTGTTTATTGCTCTGGGTAATTTTTCATAAATAACTCTTTACAATAACACTTTATAATAAGGTTCCATTCGTTAAAATGAACTAACAATGAACATTTCATCTGAACCATTTATTAATCTTAGTTAATTTTATTAATACATTATTAAAATCAAAAGTTGTATCTGTTGATATTATTTAATGGACTTGAACTAACATGGACTAACAAGGATCAGTTGCATTTTTATTACCATTAACAAATGTATTGCTCATTGTTGGTTAATGTAACACTTTATTTTAAGGACCAATTCTCACTAGATGCTTATTAGCATGCATATTATTAGCATATTGGCTGTTTATTAGTTTATTAGCTGTTTATTAGTATAAAGCACATATTAATGCCATATTACAGTTTTTCTGAATTGCTAAAACACTAAACCCCATTCTCTGAACCAAATTCTCACTAGCTTAAACCAATTTGTCGAATAAAGCACTCTTTCTGCTAAACCTTAAACACGTTCAGGCAGTTAGGCTCTATTTGCAAATCTCATGCACACTGTGATGCATTTGAGCTGCAAAATGCTAAACACAAGCGGCAAAAGTGAAACACAACTAAAGCACAGTTGTCATCGTTTACACACAACGATTCAAAATTGTTCACACTTGTTTCTAATGATGTGATCAAACCAACTGTACAAAATATGAGTCAGTTCAGAGTGCACAAGTGGCACAGGTGACTGAATGATGATACGAACAATAGATGGAAACAATCTAAGAAAAAGAGGAGGAAGAGTAAGAAGTAGAGGATGAGGAGGAAGAGGATGATGAGAGAAAAAGTAAGGTTTAGAGAGTGTTATCAAGGCTGGATCTGTCAGACCAGAGGTTTTTTTTCTCTTTGTCTAGCAAAAAAGACAACATTACTTGTGATGTGGACAAAGTCCTCAGGCCGGACTCAAGCACAAAGACATGATGCTGAGACAGAATGAATCTCTCATTGACCCTGATTTTACAATTGCACAACTTTACAGTATTGGAGTGTACTGTAACATGCTATTCATTTAGAGTTTTACACTGTTTGACATTTTAATTGCAAAATTGTTTACTCAATACACAATATACTTTTTCTGTAATGTTCTGGATGCTGTGTTCTCTGTTTTTCTCTGTAGTGTCTAATGAATGCTCTGTAGTGTTTAATTTATTGACTTGTGTGTGTGATCTGAGAGCACTGTTTGATTTTGAGTGCAAGTGAAATGGTTTTGCAGTGATTGTTTGAGTTTGATTGAAGAGTCAGAGGTTTCGTGAATTTAGTTTGAGTATTTGGATTTGTGTTTAAGGTTTTGAGAAAATGAGTGATGGTTACAAGAAATGTGTTTTAGCAATTCAGAAAAACTGTAATTCTGCATGACATATTTTAGATCCCTTAATCTTACCCCATACCTAAACTTAACAACTACCTTACTAACTATTAATAAGCAGCAAATCGGGGGTTTATTGAAGGAAAACTCTTAATTAATATGTGTTCCCTATTCTAAAGTGTTACTGTTAAGGTTAGTCAATACATTAATGTTAATAGAACCTTATTGTAACCATAACATACAGATTTAAATGATAAAACTGTTAATTAAAAAAAAAACTGTTACATGAAATGAAACATAAAAAAAAGCATAAAGGAAATATGTATTCGATTATCATTCCCCTTCTCCTGCAATCGCCTCATGCTTGCCAGAAAATTAAGATGTTTACTCTGTGTTTTGGAACATGATAGGTGGTTTAGCTGTTAAAAGCTGGTCATTAGCCGGTTAAGCAGCTATCATGTTCTAAAATACATCTACCAGTATAAGCTAAAATAGATAGATAGATAGATAGATAGATGTGTAATTATTTTATGAAATACTATGTTAGTAGTTAGTAATATACTCAGCTAAAAAAATTATTTTAATTAAATAGAATGTAAATCAAAACGAGAGCACGCCGCCAGTACGGCTAAAAAATTGACCTCTTCACGGATGCTTCGCCTATGCGGACACAGACTCAAGTGCTCCAGTAGGAGCCGTTGATTGTTTGTGTGTGTGTGTGTGCAGGTCTGCTCATGCGCCCATGAAGAGATGCTGCTGCTGCTGATCAGAGGTGTGTGCGCTGCGGCTGGCTTATTTACACCCGTTCAGTCACACTGTATCATAGAAAAGCTCTGGCGCTCCTTAGGAAATGGACTTTCTAAAGGGATTAATGTGTCTCTATGGTGATACATCTCAAGGTTAGTACTGAGATATGGCGTTGAGTCTATTTCTTTACGTAATGTTATCCTTGCATGTGTTAAGCGCTATCGGTGTGTCTGCCATCATTTTGTCGCTCTGCGCTTGTGCTGAAAACGTTTTATTTTCAGTCTCTCTGAAGACTGCACGTCTACACCTCTTCCTCGTCTTTCCGTTTTTCTTTTCTTTAAATGGGAAAGACGTGTCACACTGCTGTGATGTGAAATTGATAAAAAGAGACAATGTTTTACTTTGAAATTACATTTTTAGGCACAACAGTATGCAGGTAATATATTTATGCGTTTTTTTGGGGACTGTAATTTTTATCCCATTAAAATCATGGATTACTGCATGCATACGGTAAATGGTGCAATGCTACACCATGCTGAGTCCGTAGAGGCCATAACACACATAACACTTGCAAATTAGCTTTTTTCATTGGCATGATAAATGCAAACACACAAAAATACATAAATAAATAAAATGATAAATAAAACATTTATTGTTGTTGTACATTTAGGTACCGCCATGTGGGCCACGTTCTCCTATCTGAATGAATAGGTCAGAGCTTGTTTGTAAACCTATGCGCATGCATAAGGTTGTGCGCGTTGAGCGCGCGCTTGTCCGGACAATACTGTTTTCACATTCATTCGTTACCTTAACCCGTTCAGACCCGAATTATGTTCCAAGGAACACAAAACTAGACCGTGCTTTATTTCTACTTTAAAACCTTGTTGGAAAATCAATCCACGATGGTTTGTAGTTGATGGTCATTATTTGGCGCAAGCTAGCTCGTTGACTAGCTACCATGTAGAGAATAGTTTGAAAACCTTTTGACCAGATGCTGGTTTGTTGCTGAAGACGCTCTGCCTGCTTTTACCAGCTAACATGTTCTAAAACAGTTTTTACCAACCATAAACTCAAAAAAAGTGTGATGTTTTTAATGATTGTAGCTACATGGTTCTGAAGGGTTCAGGTTAGCCTATATTTTATTTAATCAGTGTAAGATGAACTAATGATTATAATTTATATAGCCAAGTATGTACACTTACTTGGATCATCCTCTCAAACCTGCACTCTTTTGGCAACCAGCTCAGTTTTTTTTTCTTCACAGTGCCACAACTCCTACAACTTTGTCATGTTTTCAGACAGACATAAAAGTTGAATATCAATACATAAGCAATGTAGTGCAATAGATGTCTGTTATTTTTACAGGCAAATGGCCATGAAAACAAAATATCCATTTAGTAACTTTGATCAGGCATGGTTTGCAGATAATCTGACTCAATTTAAATATAACTAAAATGTAAATATAATAGTTAGAATTATGTCAATTTTCTGCCCTGTCTACAGGCTACAGTTTCAAAACAAAAATATTTTGTCAAAAAGCAGCAATGAATTAAGTTTACTCTGTAGCATTCTAAAAATTCTGTGATTTGATTACTAAATGACAAAAAAAAAGGACAGTGGGTCTAAACAGGTTAACAATTTGAGACAATTTGTTTCTAAAAAAAAAAAAGAAAAGTACATAATGCATAAATCACTTTTGTTTCTTTTTGTCTTGTAGCTCTAAATTTGTGTCATCAGTCCCACAAGCTGTTCCTCCAAACAGTGTGGAAAGGATTTACACAGCCACATTACTGAAGAGGATTCTATGACTTATGCTACATCTCCATTTTAACTGCGTGTCAGAAATGCCCCCTTCCATAAAGTGGTGCATTAGGTGGGCTGTCTGCTTGTCCTTTATTCTTGCACTGATCCCCAGGTCCAGAGGATCGACGCTGAATTGTCACAAAATGTGCATATGCGCCAGCAACATCGTCAGCTGCTCCAAGATGAACTTGACGATGGTTCCATCCGACTTACCCGACTACACAGCTGTGCTTGACATTAGTTTTAATGAGATAACCGGACTTCGCGCACAATGGACCAAGCACAAACTTCCCAACCTCCACAACCTCTTGCTCAGCCACAACGGTTTGTCGTTCATCTCTTCTGAGGCGTTCATTTTTGTAAAGCAATTGCGATACTTGGATCTGTCATCAAATAACCTGCGACAGCTGGACGAGATTATTTTCGAGCCACTGATACATCTGGAGGTTCTTCTGCTCTACAACAACCACATCTCGCAGATCGACCGCACAGCCTTCTCAGGCCTCAACAGCCTGCAGAAGCTCTACCTGAGCCAGAACCAGGTGTCCCGCTTCCCCCTGGAGCTCCTCAAGGACAAGAACCGACTGGACAAGCTGAGCCTGTTGGACTTGTCTTCCAATCGGATCAAAGTTCTCCCCATTCAAGACCTCCAGGCACTGCCGGCCTGGATCAAGAATGGGCTGTACTTCCACAACAACACCCTCATCTGCGACTGCGAGCTGTACAGTTTGATGACTCATTGGTATATCCGACGGCTCAATTCAGCTGTGGACTTCAAGGACGACCACACCTGCGTGCATCCCGGCCCGGATAAACGGGTGCTGCGTTTGTACGATCTCAACACTCATATGAACTGCAGCACGTTTAAAGAAACTGACCAAGAAGCTTATTTGGAGCAGACGCTCACCCTCAGCTGTGATACCAGACATCGGAACATGTCCAAGACTTGGATGCTACCTGGAAACATAGCAGTGCCTCCTTACGATAACCAGAGCGTTGTGCCTCTGAAAGACGGCAACCTTGAGATAAAATCGATACGACCTGAGGACTCAGGTGTGTACACTTGCTTTGCCGTGAGTGAATACCTCAACGAAACGCTCTATGTGGTGGTCAAAGTCCACAACTTCACCCTCAATGGCAACAGCGAGACCCTCAACACCGCTTACACCACTTTGGTGGGCTGCTTGGCCAGCGTGGTCCTGGTTCTAATCTATCTGTACCTGACGCCCTGTCGCTGCTTCTGCTGTCCCGACCAGGGCAAAAAGAACCATCATGAAGACAGCATCCACTCCTCCATGCTCAGCATCACCCCGACGCACGAGGACATGGCAACCAAAGCAGAGCTCAACAGGCACGTGGCCTTCATAGACCCCAAGGACCTGCAGGGACAGAACGGAAAGGTGAATCCTAACAGAGAGGAAGAAGTGGATGAGGAGGCCATGAAGGGAAAAGGAAAACGGAAGAAATCGCTGGCAGACTCGATTAGTTCTGTCTTTTCTGATACTCCCATTGTAGTCTGAGGGAGGATGTGTATTTTTGGCTAGAGACAGTTCTTTGTTGTGGCTTTCTTGGATAAAGAGACTGAAGTACACAGTTTGCCATCCTCAGTCTTTGGCTGTTTCTACAAAACCTTTCCAGCATTTTAATCTGTAGCACTTAAGTATATACTGTGAAAAGGTCTTGCCATATTAGTGGAATCTAAACTTGGAGTGTTTAGATGTTCCTGTGAGTTTAAGCCCACTAAGTGTGACTAGAGGTAGTCTGGGTGAACAACAAATGCATTTTGCGATTTCTCAGTGATCAAGCTAGGAAGCTAGGTTGACAGACATTAGAACATCAATACATCCTCTATATAATCACATCATAAGCATGAGCTTTGCAGACTGCTAATGTTAAGAATATAGCACTTAATGAAGCCCTTGTAGCTAATCATATTTACCACATTTTATGCTAACTGACCAACCTTACCACTTTATGTGAAGCCATATGCAGCTGGTCACTGCAAGGGAAAGCAATGCACAATAGCATTTGAGAGTAGTCACAGGAAAATGATGGAAAATTATCTGTTTTTTATGGAACATTACAAGTTGTTTGGAATGAAAGTCAAACAGTAAACTGAGCATTAATGGTCACTTACATGAAACTTCCTCCACCTATATATGGCAATGGAAAAAATAATATCCTGGTAAAACTCAAATGGCTGTTTGAATCTAGACTCTTTAAGTCCAATTTCATAAGTTTAAATATTGGATACCAATATAAAACAAAGCTGTAAGAACTTACACAGTTTCATTTATATTAAACTATAATACAGCAGTTTTTCAATGTATTACCCCTCGCATAAAAAATGCAGAACGCATGCATTTTCAGCCACTTGAGCTCATCTGTCATGACAACCAGGGAGTGACATATAACCAAAATGCTAATGCATTCTTTTAATAGAATGACATGTCCCATCTGCCTGAACTCTCATCTCTAAAGCAATGATGATATGAGCTTGGATTCAACAGCCAAAACAGTTTCGGATACTCAGACCTATTCTCACCCTGCGTTCATTTGCACTTGTGGTGGTTGGAGTCAGTGCTGACTCATCCATTGTCAGAATAGAAGTCATTTTTTAAGCCCTTGAAGCGCGGAGGTAACCTTCATCAGATAAAAAGCCAAAGGCTGAGGGATTTTTTCAATTATTTTTTAACCTCGAACCATTATAATTTGAATACATTTTCTGAATGGATTAAAAATCAAGTTTGAAGTTTGAGTGATTAGCCGAATGTTCTCCTCATGTTCTGGTATTCTAAATTATTACTACAGGCATACAACAGTGATCTCTCAGAGACCAATATTATATTTGCATATACAATGTCGTAGGAACCTAAAGAGACTGCTACGAATCATAATGTAATGCGTAAAGCTCGTTGGCTGTGCTCAAGGAAGATGTGACTAGATCCATTCCAAGCAGATATCAACATTGTCCTGGTGGACTGTTCTAGAACACCAGTCAATGATGTTAGAAAACCATACGTGGAACTCTTACTTCTGGGAATGGCACTTCTATTCTTCTGTTCCTGGAAAGAAATCAGAATCATCTCACATGTTAACCATAACCACATATTTATAACGGGGTCTGGTTGGGATCAGCTGGAGCAATCTTAGTTTCCTCCGGCCTCTTTCCCTAGTAACATCGTAATTACATCCTGTTTTGCGAGTGAGGGAGTGGGTGAAGCTATTAAATGTTTGATAGGTGGATGAACTCACAAACAGTATTATCTCAGGGAGAGGGAATAACAGATAATAGCAGCTATGGCAGACTGCAGTCATGGGCAGTTACGGTCTCTTACACGTCTCTCTAGCTGCAATCCAAAATTAGTGTGCAGAGGAGGGAAAGGCCTTACCATCACGAGTGCTGTGGGATCTCGGTGGTTCGCAAAGACACAGAAAAGCCAAATGCTCCCCCTAAAACCACATCCAGCAACTTTTCACCCCTGTTGTGTGTGTTCTTCTTAACTGTGTGTCCTTGGCTATTTTGCTACGAGCAGAGTTCTTGTGAAAGACCACTGTTCATTACTTACCATTTAACAGTAGGCTACATCTGTGCTTTTGTATGTGCAAACAGTGTTTGTTTTTACAGTGTTTATGAGATCGTGTCATTTTAGGTAGCTTTTTTCCCCTTGAGGTTCCAAAGAGACTGAATTAATTCCGTGTTCTTCTGTGTATCGTTGTTCCTATACAGTTGTCTAGATTCCACTTGTGACTATAGGATATTGGTAAACCTATTTTAATGACACTGACTGTAAAGGTCTTTCTCTGTCATGCATTTTGAAATCTGATCATCTATTTGTCTATTATATGTTGTTATTTAGGCACATAAATTAAGTTTTTTTTTAATGTCAGTAAATTAAATCTCAAGAAGCATCACAGACTGTATCCAAGTCCAAAACTCTGTTGCATTAATTAGAAAATGCAACTTCAAGTCAACGTGAATTGCCGTTCACAGCCCACTTTACTAGTACCAGTTTAAAGGCCCGTTCACAACAAGGATGATTACTATAATAATAACTAGAAAGCTGTAATACTCATTCCAATTCTTTGAGAATAGTGGAGTCCGAACCACAACTTTAACGATAATGGCACAGAGAAACGATATGGTTGGAATTTCACTTTTTTTCCACACAACTTTGAAAAACTGAGCATTTAAAGGGGCAAATGCAGCGTAAAAACTGCAGCGTATACCTAATATGTGGACGATAATATATTTATTGTTACAGTTATCATTTTTGATATGAACTGCCTTAAAAATTTGGTGCTAAAGGTATGTGGTACTAGAGACTAGTCCCTTCTGTTCTTTACTAACATTTAGAATCTTAAAACTCTAGATTAACAGAATTCAAAATAAGTAACAATATCAACAGCATTTGATAGTTAGTTGTGACTAAGTCTAGTTCTTCTAGATTTGAGTACAGAAAAAAACATACAAACAGAAGTAGACGAACACAAATCTGCTAGAATCTCAGTAATGCAAATATAGCTGTACCAATAGTAAGCAAGCATCCTGATATACATACATACTGCTAAAAAACTGTGAACCCTAAATGGTTTGAGATCTAAAGTCTCAGCCATCATTACTAGTGTCTGAAAGCGAGAATAGAAATGTTGTCAGGTTCAGTATTAGAGCTAGATGCCTTACTGTAAAGTCTAAATGTCAAAAACGAGACTGATGAGTGCCGGGTGGTGCAGATCCCTGTCCTAGAGTGAAACGGACTGCTTGATGATAATCCAGAAACTGATTCTCCATCAGCAGTCCTCCCACATGGAAGTTTACCTATGAGAAGTATTATTTATCAATAATATAAAAGTGAATAAAAAATGAAATTGACTGTTTTTGATTATTTTTTATGCTTTCTGTCCAATCAGACATACAGAAACGTGTTAGTTTACATTTAGCTGACACTATTTATCCAAAGCAACTTGTAGTTGCATGAACCATTAGTTTCCACAATAACCACATTATTATATACAGAATCTTTGAAATGAGCACTTTAATAAGGGATCGGCTATATTTAAAGATATACAGGAGATTTATCATTGCTATGGTTATATTAATGGACTAGTCTAAATTAAATACTTGCCCTGAGGGAGGAGATGAAATTATTTTCTGTTAAATTGACAACGTGCCACAAATACAGATTTTTATTTAACCCAAAATAGTATTTTAAAGGTCCCATATTGTCAAAACTGAAATTTCCTGGCTTTTTTCATAACTGAGGTCTAAGTGCTATGTAACTACCATATAAGTTTCAAAACAGTCAGTCCACAGTAAAATTCACACAGCCTGCTTAAAGTAGCTGTGATTTTTCACGAACCTTTGTGACTTCCGTAAAAAGTTGACGTCAGAACTACAGTCACCGCCTTCAGTCACCACCCCGAGCACCGCCCACAGTCCCACTCTCCTTTAGCCAAACCCCAGACAACATCGCGTCCATGCTATTGCTGAGCAACGACAACAGGGAAACATGTCGAAAAGGTTAAAACCAGGAAACCAGATCGGCCCACCTGTAATGTTACACTCTCACTCAAAGGATGGACGATCTGACAGGATTGTTACTATGAGGTGGATCACATCTAACATGTATAGACAAACTCACCGTGTATCTAGTCATGATGAAGATGTATATACATTTCAATTTCAGCAGGAAACTATTTTTACAGCTACATTATTGTTCCAGCCACAATTAATCACAACAATGTATATACAATTACAAATGATTATATATAAATCGTCAGTTTGTTGTTTTACACACATGCACACAGACATTTCATAAATGACATAATCGTGAGATGCAAGAAACATAGACATAAATCTGTAGACGCGCCCATAACAACAAAAGACAATACTTTATTTAACCTTTTCTGATAAGAAGTGTGTGCTGCAAACGCGAGCATTTTTGACGATCGTTTCTGTCCAGTCTGCTCGTTTTATCGCGTTTAACCACAGCTGTCGTCGGTTTTTTGTCTGGCAGTGGCAGCAGATATGCGATCAAATTTCTCATTTGAGGCTGTATTACGTCGATTCTGGCACCCAACATCACAACAAGATGATATTTTATCATCTTTATGTATAAGCTCCTTATGTAGCCGAACCTGCGCTGGTTTGAATGGGCCGCCGCACTTACTAGGTTCGTTCTACAATGACATCTGTAAACTAAACTTTGCAGCATCCATGCTGAAGTACACAACCACCGTTCTATCATCCAGCACAATAACAAAAAATGACCCTTTGGCCTGTCTGAGTAAAATGGACGTATCTAGCAGTTTAGTGTCATCTAGTGGTGAGACAAAAGAAACGTGTTGGCATATTTATTTCAGAGTCCATTATATGACAGTCCGTTTAGCAGCATATGGAAGGTCTTGAGGTATTTCTATGTTCATTTGCAGGTCATTCACAAATACATTCATTCACATAGAAATCCAGTATACAAAACACAGACACACACATACATATATACTGATACGTACTCCTACAGTGAACTTCAAACACTTTCACCATCCTGTGCATAAAGACTGTAGCAAATACATGGCAGGAATCCTGTGCTTCTGGAGGAGTTTAAGGCAGACTCCCTCAGTGAAGAAGATTTGGCTGTTGGGAGAAAAGAAGAGCAGATGGTCAGGAAAAGGATCTAAATTCAGAGCTGAGACTCAACCACTGTGCTGAATTAAACCTTGATGATTCATCTTAACAGACTATCAATCTGTGACTTCCTATACTTGTTGTTCTAACACTGTGTATTTTTTATCTTTGAAGTGTTTAAAAAGTAAGCTTTGCCAGTTTTCTTCAATAACTTTAATGCATTTCCTTTCCCTAACAAGAGGATTACATGTCTACCAAGAGCTGCTTGAGCTTCCAGACCCCTACACATTGGTCGTATTAGGTTATTATTTAACACATCACTTAAAGGTGCACTCAGTATTTTCATCATTAAAGTGTTTTACGCCTAATGAAATCAATAGGACTTTTAAAATCATGCCACATTTTAAAAGCACTCACATTAGATGAATCATATAGCCTAAAAGCCATTTAAATTTGGGTAGTTAAAAAAAAAAACAAATCAACAAACAAATAAATACTACAAAAAAAAAGAGGAAAAAGAATTTGATTTTGTAAAGGAAAATGTATAGTTTTAGATACTGTAACAGGCCACTATTTCTTCAGTTTTTCACATGTACAAAAATTATGATAATATAGAAATTAAACAAATCATTTACATAAAAGATTATAAAATGCTGTTTAAAGTATGCTTTAAACGTTTTAAATACATTCAGAAACAACAAAATATAAGTTTCACCCCTCCAGTGTTGTTATTGTTAACTAAAACTATTAAAATCGTTTTCAGAAACTGAAATTAAAAGCTGAAATAAAAAAGATAAATATTAGATTTGAAATATTAATGTAAAAAACTTGCCTTGACAACTGACTGAAATAATAAGTTTAAGTACTAAAATTACTAGAACTGAAAATTAAAAAGCTATATAGAAATATTTAGCCAACCCTAATAAGCACATAACAAAATTACTAAAACTTGAGCTAAATTTAAAATGAAAACTGAAAATTAAAAATAAAACCCAATTCAAAATATTAATAAATACTATAGTATTTACAATAATACAATTTTAAATGAACTACCATATATTTTTTATATCATTCATATTTAGGGACATCCTTTAAGACAAAGGAATCCAATAATATAATGAGAGATGCTTTTTTAGATTAGATTTCATCTAAATAATTCATTAAATGAGATTCTTATGAGTTATTAAACACTGAAGAAATACTAGAGAAGGCTATATCTCCATATTTCTCCTAAAACGGTATGATAAAATTGAGACATACTGAGAGAGTTGATCATTGATAATGTCACTAAATGTCCAAGACAACATATTGGCCAATGCAACAAATAAACAACAACAACAAAAAACAATACTGAATGCATCTTCAGTTAAACTACTGAAAAACAAACCTTCTGTGCACCTAGTTTCTTTGGCAGATTATGGGAGGTTGGTGCTGGTCTGCCATCCCCACCCCATGACACCAGGCTGGAGTGAGTTTGGGAGAAAGAGGAGAGGATATTGGATTTAGGGGCACATGAAGTGTTTTTGAGGGGAGAGGGATTGCTGGTCTTACGTTTCCTGCCAGGCCCTTTATGTTCGTACCCAACAGCCCTTTGATTGAGCCCTGAGGCCCCTCCCTTATCTGACTCTGGGGAGGGAGAGGGGGAGATGTGGGCAGGGCTTTGCTTAATCAGCGCCTTCATTTCAGGTTGGTGTGTTCTCCTGCCAGCTGAGTGTGCGCCATTAAACGGGCCATGTGGTGAAGAAATCATAGTTCTGTTCAAGGAGGACTGGGGGAGAAATACGATTTTGGACTGTTCAGGTGAGTCCTTGTCCTTTTTGGGAGATTTCCGCTGCTTACTGGCTGTGGGACTCTCCTGAAGCTCCCTGAAACCCACTTGCAAAGCCTGTTTGCTGGTCCGACCTGCAGGGTTACGGGGCCGGGTGGGGCCTGAGTTCGTCTGGGCTTTCGTTGGTAGTTTTGAGGCGGCTGTTAGGTTAGTGGGCTCTGATTGTCCTGAGATGCTTGTCCTGAGAGTAGAGGCACTGCGGATGGGTACGGAGCTGCGCGTGGCATCATGGGAATTGTAGTTGTTTGTGGTGACTAGGGGTTGATGAGAGCATAGTTCTGACACCTGAGGGATTTTCCTACAGACATGAGATATACTTACAACAAACAAAATTCACAGGCAAATGAAAAGAAAAAAATCCATTCTTGCACAAATACATTAAAAAAACAACCCATTTTGTAATTTAAGAAATTAAAGCAAATAAATGAATATAAAATAATGAAAAAATAATTATTATTATTAGTGTTTAACAATAGTAACAGATTAAATATTAAACAAATCTGAAAATTAATTTTTCGATTTTTTTTTTTATCAATTTGTTATACTGATAATATATTTGTAATGAAAAATAATTGAAGTAGAAAAAGATAAAATAAAACACAAACAGACAAAAAAAACAATCGAAAAGTAGAAATGTTGCCATGGAAACTAACTGAAATAAGTTTAAGTAATACAATGAAACTCAAATAAAATAAATAAAAGCTATATATAAATATTAAAATAAGCAGATTACTAAAACTTAAACTAAAAATATAAAAATTCTAATTCAAAAGCTAATTCTAAATATTAATAAATACTACAATAAGTATTTGTTTACTTTATTTGTTATGCTGATCATATTTGTAAAAAAAAAAAAAATCACTGCATTAAATAAGGAAAATATAAAAGTAGAAGGATAATAGCAGTCTCAGACTTCTGGAGCCCATTGCCTTTATTCAATCAGCTAAATGTTGAAAACACTCAAAATAATCTTTGTGAATGTCACAAGAACATCAGCTTGATGTAAAATATCTTACTTCCATAGATAAGTGCTGAGGTGCTGCTCCATCATGACACTGAAAGCTGACCGCAGGTGAAGCAACCTTCGGTCAAACGCTAACACACTACGGCCAAGTACACGTGCCCCGAAGGTGCAAAGCTGAAAGAACGTGAGAGAGGAGGCAAACAAGGGTTCATTTTACTACAAATGGGATATTATTAGCTGAAACTGTCTTTTTTGTAACTTTTGTTATGAATATTATCTCACATTAAGATTTGTAGGGGATTTTTAGCACTTAGTTAAAAAAATGCTTAAATTTTAATATGAAGAAAAATACTTACACCCAGGGGTTTAGGGTGCAAGGTGCTTGCTGGTAAATGAGCAAAGTCCTCACTGTTCTCCCCGTCACTCTCCTCACTGGAGAGACTGGCTGAGAGAGGCTCCACCTCCTCTAATGGATTCATGGACCTGTAAACACACACATTCAGATAAATGTCCTGTCTAAGTGTCAAATAAGCTTGAAAGCATCTGTCTCCATTATTTAAATCACAGAATGCAGAACTATAGACCTGAGAATAGAAGAGTTAGTTATTTGGCATTTGGTCTCATGGTGGGCAGAGCCTCCATCGGGAACTTCTCTGGGCAAAGGGGGGCGCTCTCGAGGCTTTGAGCTCATCTTCAGCTCCATTACAAGCTGGTCTAAAGGTTTCCGCCTCCCTACCACCTGGCGGCGCTGATGGATGGAATGAATCTGCAGTAGAGGAGATAACACAGAAACACCAGCAAGAGTTCAACACTTTGGTCCAAAATCACTGAAATGTTTATGCTGGTGTACTTGTTTCTGTATATTGACTATATGCTCACATTACAAGTCAGCAGTCTGGTGCACAGTTTCTTTCTCTCAGGATCCATCACCCCACAGTGCTTGTCCAAGTCACATTCTTTCTCTGAAATAAACAAATCGGTTTCAACAAGAGAAAACATTTGAACCCCCAAAAAACCCAACACACTGTAACCAAGTAGATTCAAAATGTTTATGGAAAAAGTCAAATACAGTAAAATTTTAGTTAAAAATATGTAAGAGATACTATCCACACAGAATGAATTATTTTTTTATTAAATGCATTAAAAGTTTTTATTAAATGCAGTTTAAAAAAAAGTTTTTATTAAATGCATTAATATATTAATACATAGTAACATAAAACATTTATCTACAAACATTACCACAAAATAAGTTATTACTTTACGCATTAAATTCAAAAGTTACAGTAAATATACAAGTTATATACAGTTGCAGTACAGTTATAATGTTACAAAAGATTTCCATTTCAAATAAACACTTTTTTTTTTTACTTTCTATTCCTCAAAGAGTCCTGAATAAAACGTTTCATGGTTTCCACAAAAATATGAAGGAGCACAACTGTGTTTCAACATTGATAATTATAAGAAATGTTCCTTGAGTAGCAAATCAGCATATTAGAATAATTTCTGAAGGATCATGTGACACTGAAGACTGGAGTAATTATGCTAAAAATTCAGCTTTGCCATCACAGGAACAAATTATATTTTCTTAATCAATTTAAATGGAGTTCTTTAAATGGATTCGTTTAAATGGATCATTTGAACAGATTCACAAGACTAAAACTAATGACAGACTTTTAAAACTCTTAATGGTCAAATAAAAAGTGGATTTAAAATTCATTTTAAGATTAATTTTAGACTGCCTGCCAACAAAATCATGAATATTTGAAATATCATCCATGTTAATGTACAGTATGTCTGAAATACTAACAAACTCAGACACAAGATTTTTTGTTTCCCATTATGAGTTGCATCAGAGACTTACTAAGGACTTTCTTGTAGGTTCTGCTGTGTGTTCTTGGTCCGTGCGGGTGAGTGTGTGAGTCCAAACTCTTCTGAATTGTTTTCTCGGCAGATGGGGCTGCTTTTTTTGGTGGCATGGGCAAATGTAGAGGTGTTGGAGGGGTTTCATGGGAAACTTTATCCACCTGCTGAAGACTGGAACACAACACTGGAATGAAACGACACTGGAATAAACAGTGGACGCGTAAGATCAAGTTAAACTGCACTTCACTCCTCCTCACCTGGGTCCTTCACGCTGTGGTTTGGAATATGCCTGGTGGGGAGAATGAGGTGGTGGTACTCGTGGGGGTCCAGCCCCCCGGTGCCTGCTGTCTTGACCCTCACAAAGGCTTCCATGTTGGGAAGGCGGTCTCCCCTGTTGGGGTTGGTCAGGAGAGCAGTTGGATGGCTTGTCATAAAGCTTGCTGAAGAGGCCATGACGACGCTCACAATGCTTCTCAAACGCCTGTGGCTTCACCACCTGCCCACAGTGGCTGCACACCACCAGGAAGAAGTCATCATGTGCTGGGCAGTGGCCATATATCGACATGTCTGTGACGGCAAGAAAAATGTTTTTATGTGTGGCAATCATGTGCGTCATTATTGCAATCTATAAATCACAAGCCTAACAAATGCCTCCTTACCTCCTTTCTTAAAAGTCATGGTTTCCATCCGTTTCTTCACATTTTTGCTGCACTCTTCCAGAGAGGACCCTAAAAGAGGCAGTGAAACAAACAGACCATCAAAACAGGAAATGAAACACAAAGCAAAGTCCATTCACACCGACACTCCTTTCAAGTGTCCATACATTAAAGGGGTCATATGATGCTGCTAAAAAGAACATTATTTTGTGTATTTGGTGTAATGAAATGTTTTTATGCGGTTTAAGGTTCAAAAAACCCATTATTTTCCACATACTGTACATTATTGTTTCTCCTCTATGCCCCGCCTTTCTGAGCGCTGATCATTTCCTGCATTTATGAAGCCCCTCCCTCAGAAATACATGATGGGCTCAGTTTGTTTAGCTGACTCAGTGTGTTGTGATTGGCTAAACCGCCTCTAGTGCGCATCTAAACGTCCTGCCCCTCACCTCAGCGGCATGTGCTTCGGTTGTATTATAAACAATGGCATCGTCTATATTGCTTATCAGTTTGAGCCCGATTGAGACGCAGAGGATATTAGTGAAGAGGATCGCGCAGAACCTGTACAAGTACGGCTCTTAATGGTATGTTTTTTGATTGTTGTTGTCTCATACTTTTAGATATGTTGATTTTGAAACTTGTGAATCGTTAGAAGACAGAATCACGATTCATATATGAATAGATTTTTACGAGCACCTCTAGTTTTCTCTTCCTCTTCTCTAAAGCAGCGCAGCATGGACTCGCCCCCTTCGTTGCATGTTCCCGGGTGCGGGGTTTGGCTGGGTTTGTGATGTCACAAACCCGGGAAGTAACTCGTTGTAGTCCCTACGAGCCGTTTTTGTAGGCATTAAACTGCCAGAATTTTAAAAGACGTTATCTCCATTTGCATTGAACTTTCAGTACCGCAACTTTGCAGATATTGTTTATGCTCAAACAGCAACATTACACACTAACTAACATTAAAAAAGTGAAATCGCAATCAACTACCCCTTTAAAAATAACTAACTGCAATTAATTGAACTGTATATTCTTTAATAGATCAGAATCTGTTTAGGGGACCAATTAAAAAGCTTTTTTTTCTGCTGCACAGGGTCTATGTATTAGCTTGGTAAAATTTGGTGAAAATTTCTATTTTGTAGTTCAGAAAATGATAGATACTATTACTATCCTTATCCTATTCTATACTGTTATATGTATCATAAAATAACCCTGGCAAGAACATACTCATTGTAAGCTATATGTTTACTGTTTATAGAGGTTGACCCAGTCAAATTAGGAGGTAGTAGGTGTGAAATTAAAACCACATTAGGGAGTAGGATGGAAAAATAAGTTGCCAAAGACCTCTACACTACGGTAAAAAAATAAAGTTTACTGATGAATTTTAACCACAAATGTGACGTCCCTTTATATATTGTTGGCCTACATATTTTTTTTTAACAGTTTTTAGCAATTTAATTCATTTTGTTTATTTTAACATAACATTATTTGTAACTCATTTTAAGTCATGTTTAACTCTAGTTCTAACATCTTAAAGTGGGCTACTGGACTTCCAGGGTGGGCTGTACAACTGTGAAGGTGGTTGATGTCAAGTTCATGACTGGGTCATTATAGACTCTGGAAGTTTGCTGAGGCCTTCTAGTCGGCCGTGGTCCCCCAGTTGAGAACTGCTTTAGACATACCGTCAAATAATGTTCCCACTTCTAATGGCACTTCACAGCTCACTGCATTCATTAATATGGGTCATTTCATTTCCTGTATTACATGAACTACATACATGAGAAATGCAATTCTTATTATTAATCAGTTGATAAGTAAGATAGATGGAGAGAGACCAACTCAGTGTGCTATATAAAGATGTAATGTAAAGAAAAGTCAGAGCAAGGGCAGTTTGATGTGAAGATGCCTCTTGATTACTGGCTATTGCAAAGGGAAATATCAACCCAGCATTTCATAATGCTGTCACCACATGATAATCTGATAATAATGAGACGTTCTCACGGTGACCAGAACAATTATGAACCTGTGAGTGGGTAAATGGGTTCAGAGGCTTATTTATCTTATAGTTCTCTGGCCAGAGACTCGTCTCCACCTTCACTTCCCGTCGCGCTGGCTGTCAGATCACCAAAGGTAACATACTGCGCCGCATCTTTTGGCTTTAAAACTGTAACCAACACGACAACGTACATAATGAGTTAAGGCACATTACAAAAAACATTTTCAAGACAGTACATTTTAGTAAAGAGTACATTTTACTAAAGAGAGCGCTAGGACCTGGGAGAATTTCCGAAAGTACAGTGTGTCGGATTGCAACCCATGCGGCGCTAGGACCCGGCGGGGCCTTTGTTTGGGTCGTGGTGGCCGGGGTTTGCTCTTTTCAAACCGATCCATTTCCTGTGCTCGCTCGACGCGATTACAACTGAAAGTATCGAGAGCTCGACATTATTTTACTCACCATCCGACGTGGATACGTTCGCTTTGTCGATCCAAGCGGTCCAGCTTTGCCCTACAAAGTCTAGGATGGAAATCCGCCGATCTAAGGCAGCCATTGCCGATTTAGCGCGTGCACGATCCGCCACCATCACGGCGGGAGCGCATTGCGACGTCATCTTGCGTGGGAGGTCCGACTCAATTGTTAGAGTCGATTCTTTTGAAATGTTCGTTCCAAAGAACCGGTTCACCCAAAGAGATGGTTTAATCAGGGATAATACACATTAATAATACATAAAAATATATGTAAAATGTGCCAGATTTAGCCAGGGTGGCTAATTTTCATGTAGTCCCAGGGCAGGTCGATGCAGGCTGAAAAAAATATCAATACATAAATACAAAATTTTTAACCCTAAAATCCTGATAAATGTTCACAATTTTGCTTTGACCACAAACATTTTCATTTCTTCTTTTTTTCTTCTTTTCTTTTTTCATTAATTTATTTGAGAAATCACAATGTCCTTATATATATATTTTTTTTTTATAATTCTGGTGAGTCTATTCCAGTCATGGGTTCCTCTATAAAGCTGGATTTAAAAATATTTTAATTTGGCTGACAGCTATTAGACTTTTTTTTTTTAAGAGGGCGATTTGGTTAGCCTATCTCTTTCTATCACTGCATAAATCAGAAAATACAGACAAACAAATTAACTTTGCTTCTAAGAAATTAAAAAGATCCTTTTGCAAATACTTCCCGAATATAGATAGGAATAAAACTGGAATGTTTGGGGTAAGTGCTACTAAAGTGGAGATTTGGCTCAGTCAAAAATCAAAACTCATTTTGGAAAAAGAAAAAGTATTTAAAGATAGATAACGGGATAAAAACGCTTGTGTGTTTTAAATGTTCTTTTGCCGCTACTCTGAAAGAAGGCATGCTATAGAAGCAAAATAGCCTATCCCAAAATGTCAAAAATGGACCAACCAATTAAACAACTTAAGTAACATATTCTTCTCAGTTCCCTCCAAACGTGTTTACTATTAACAATTGTAAAGGAAATTTCCAATTCAACAGAAGACTGGAGCTGAGACCCTCTAGGATCGATTTAGTTAGATTCGTGAACAAATCGTCCAGTCTGTGAACGGGTTCAACGATCCATTGAAAAGATCCGACTCAAACGAACAATTAGTTCACGAATCGAACATCGCTTCAGGCTCGTGTCCGTGCACATGAAACGTTGGAAATACCCATATAGGAAATACCATAGACTGTATAAAAACAGGGAAATACCCAATTTTCTGAATAGCCTACATCATAATCTGTAAACTCCTCACAACTTAATACCAGCATCAGCAGCAGCTGATTTTCACAATAACGCAGGCTGATACTGTGAGCATTAAGATAATGAAGATATTTTGTCTAAGAATGTGTTTTGTCTTTTATGCAGCAGTGTGTAGCCTGTTTAAGTAAATAAGAATTAGAAATTAATTTTCATAGGTAATTTACCAATTAGAAATTACAAGTAGCCTACATGTGGGCCAAAGAATGATATTATGCACAATAAAAAGAAAACATGTTTTTATTATTATTATTTATTATCTTATTTATTTTTAAAAAGCCTCCAACTTTGTTAAACACAAAAAAAACATTCAATTCATTTTTAGCAACAGTCGTGCCTGGTATATGTAAACGTTTCTTAAATATAGGCTAACTAAGTTATAAGGCACACATTTCATTTAATAAAAGGCCATTTCAACCACAAGAAGCACATTGAAAAGTAAGCCGAGATGCTGTTTTATAAGGCCAAAACTAACTAAACACAACAGCATCTTGTACTGCACAGCCTCAACGGTTATAAAAAGGGAGCATCAGAACAGCAAATTCAAGTTATACACTGAATTCAAAATATATTTCAGTGAACAGGAATCAAAAACATTCTGTACATTTTGTTTATGTAACAAGTTCAAATGACATCAAAAACATGACAGTAACAGTAAAGATATGAAATATGACATTTTAATGATGCAGTTTACTTCATACAAAGTTTATTTGCTAAGGTGTTCTTGTACCTTCCCTAAGTATACAGCTTTGCTGTAGTGTGTAAAATGCACATCTAAATTGGACCATATTTGAATATAATGGAGATACTCTATAGGCAAGAACCTTTGGTGGATTTGTGACACAGGTCAAGACAGGTAGATCCATAACATCAGTCAACCGGGTGCTATGTAGCACTTTAGTACTGCAACAACACCTGCTTGATGAATGTGGATGTGACCCGTTTAATTATGGCTGTCCTGCTCCCGCTTGCTGATTGGCTGACTTGTGTAATGGCGTCTCCTTGTAAAGGAACCAGCAGTTTCCTCCCCACAGGATAAGGTTGAGGAATCCAAAGATCTATAAAAAAATTCATAGATTCACATCATTTGCATTAGTAACCTCACTTGATTTGTTTTGAATTCATTTGATTCACATTACATAAATACTGACAAAGGATAGCAGTAAAAATAGGTGGGAAAATAGGATGGATAAATCATAAATAAGTAATTCTGTTAAATTATCCAGGTATGATGTCATGGGTCTAGTATTTTGCTATACATTATAGTCCTCCTACCACTGAGGAATTGAGGCGGCCCATTGAGGGGATGTGCCCAGCAGTGCACTTGTTTCCTGTTTGTTTACACACTTCAGTTATGTACACAAGCGTATTCGGACTGGTTGAAATTTTCACATCCGTGAGGCCTTTTCCCCATGCAGATGAACACACCAGCCAGAGAAAAGCGAAGATCCCAGTTAACAGTAGATCCTAAAGAGAGTAATACATGTAAATTGAAATATATATAAATTATACATTAAATGCATTATAATTAATATTATTATTCTAATATACCAGTCAAATGTTTGGAATAAATACAGAAAAAAACAGTAACATTATGAAATAGTAATACAATTTAAAAGAACTGTTTTCTTTTTAATTAAATTTTTTTTATTTTTATGAATATTAAGTTCAAAAGAACTGCATTTATTTGTAACAGAATTCTTTTGTAACGTTATTTCTTTCTTTACATTCACTCTTGCTCAATTTAATGTGTCCTTGCTGAATAAAAGTATTTCTTTTTTTAATTTATTTTTCTTTGTACATTCTGCAAATTATTCAATGGTAGTGTATGACGGTTTCCACACTGGATATTTGGCAGCAAAAAAATAATTATTTATTAAAAATAGGAAATTAGGAGTGGACGATATGGCAAAAATATCGTATCACAATTTTCTTTTCAAGAAAATCATGATTCACGATTTTATCATGATTCTTTGTCATGCTGGTTTTACTATTTTGCAAGTTGTCTGAGCAGCACAGCCAAACTAATTTCCCAATTTTAAAAACAAAGCCTTATAAAGTGAAAGCCGATCCGGCGATCCACAGCGCGAAGTTGATGTATTTCCTCAGCGACCAGCACGGATCAGCTCCAGGCATGACGAAGCGGATATCGTCCTCTTTTGGAAGACCAAACAA